GGGGGGTACCAGGGTTCGAACTTGGGTCCTCAGCTTGTGAGGCAGGTGCCAGAACCACTGAGCTAAATCCCCGGCCCTGAGCTGTCTGTAAATAAGTGCTTCTGGGCCGGGGATTTAGCTCAGTGGTTCCGCCATCTGCCACACAATCGCGAGGTCCCGAGTTTGATCCCTGGTGCCAAATAAATAAATAAATAAATTTAGTGCCTCTTGTCCTTGTAGCCTGCTTATAGTGCATTGACAGCACAGCTATCAATGATTTTATATCATGAATTCTTCACCCAAGTCATGACCTCTTAAAGGCTGAGCTTTACAAACTTTCCATTAAATCAAGTGTTAATTGAAGAATTAGGAGACAGGTATGGCAATGAAAATAGTGACAGGAATGACGCAACACACAAAAGTGGTAATAAATTGCAGGCAGCAAAATTGAGAAAATGTTTCTTCATTTCACACAAGTGCATTAATTATGTCTATTACAACCCAAGATGTAGTACGAAGATGCATATTAGATACAACCATGTCTGTTAATTATCCAATGCATATGTTATTCATGCCTTGTGTTCATACTCCAGTGGGTAATTTGGCAATAAGTCTCGAGTTCATCTATTAATGTCAGTATTCTTTATACTTAATTATATAGTAATATTATAATTTGATACAGCCATTGTATGTTGCATTAGATATATTAAATATGTCTGGCTGGCTAGTGATCTTAACTGGGGCTTATTTTGTGTTAGGTCTTATATTAGGAGCATCCTGAAAAATCATGCTAGGGCTTATTTTTCAGTTAAATCTTATTTTCGGGGAAATATGGTATTACCAGCAAGTGAAATAGTGGCCACCTGCTGGGTACATTTCATGGTTAAGCAAAGTAGGCAGAACTTCATTCTTCTGGAGGTCAGTCTTATAACTGCTGGGTATAATTTGAGATCTTAGTGTTTCCCCTAAAAACAGAACATGGAGAAGGAAAGGACTTGACTGAAGATATCAAATCGACTTCCAGGATTTCTGTAGCTAGAAAATACTGTAAAATTGTTTTTCCATTCTTAAAACAACTTGGAAAGTCATGATCCTAATCCTTTTATCAGAATTGAGAAAGTGACTGACCACTTGGAAGCACTCATAGACCCCTTTGACCTGGATGTGTTCACGCCATTCCTCAACAGCAACCTTAATCGCCTGGTGCAGCGCACTTCTGTAAGTCAGTCAAATTACCCTCGTGCCAATGAAGTCCTCACATAACACAGTAAACCTACTCAGCACTTACACTCCAGGATGCAGTAGTGGCAGGAGATGAGACACAGGTAGCTGAGTGGACTTGCAAAGACTAAAAGAAAATGAGATAAAATCCCACACACACTGGGGTGGCTGTGATCTGACCTCTTAAATTATAGATAAGGATTAATAACATTTTATACAAACCTCAGAAAGAGAAAGAACAACATGGCCATGAGATTCTGTGAAGGAAAGTTAATTTTAAAGTATTAACACACTCAAACAGCTCCTAAAATGATGGTTAGAAATCAAGTGGTGGTGGTCACTCTTAAGAGAAATGATTGTTTGACCTGGACAGTAAAATCCTGCATTTCACTCTGCTCGCTCTTGTATGTCAGGTTCTGTTTGGACTGGTTACTGGTACGGAGAACCAGTTCACCCCCCGCAGCAGTATGTTCAACTCCCAGGAAGCCCATAACATCCTGCCACTGGCTTCAAGTCAGATCAGGTGAGTCAGATCCTGAGAACATTCACTGGGTCCCAAGGCTACCCCTTCGTGCCGCTGAAATTCTTCCTCTCCTCCTGGAGGTTTGGCCTGCTTCCACTGAGCATGACGAGCACACGGAAGGCTAAGTCCACCAGCAGAAGTGTTGAAACAAAAGCCCAGGTTAGTACCTAGAAAGAGGTTCTCCCCTACTGATCCTGTCCCACACCACCCGGTCAACTCCCTGTGAAGTAACTGATAAAGAACTGGATGACAAAATCCACTAATGCTGCTTTTAATGGTGGCGCAATAGAGAAATACAAGGTTTTACTAGCTTGAACCAATAGAAGGTTTAACATATGGCCATTGACATACCAAGTAGCAGTATAATAGAAATGTATCCCATGCTGCAAGGTTGTAGACAATGTACAAACAGGATGAACATGGTTTGTTGCATTAAGTAGAGTAAGAGGGATAACTGCCAACCCAGCATTGTGAGTGTACTAATCTGGAGAAAATCCTTTTGTCCTGGTGATGGTTTCATCTTCCATATCTTTTAGTTGAATGGGAAATAAATGAGTTTTCTTCCTCTATATTTACATTTTCTTGTCAATGCACATTTTGTTTCAGTAGGATGCCATCGATTAAGCCTGAAGAGTCATCCTGGGTATTTCTGAATTGTGCTGTGTACATGTGTGTTTGGGAGCTCAGCTTGTCTTACACCATTCAGTTGTTCTTTCTTTTATTGTTACACAGAATATTAGCAACATGTCCTTTCCATATTCCCTGCCATCAAGCCCATTAAGATCCAAAGTTCTTGGGCTGGGGATTTATCTCAGTGGCATCACGCCTACCTCACAAGCACAAGGTCCTGAGTTCAATCAATGGTACCAAAAAAAAAAAAAAGATCCAAAGTTCTTGTCAAACATCTGGTTTTAAATTGGGAAGACAGTTTTTTAAAAGAAAAGATAGCTTTTGGCAAACCCCACACTCTGAAGCATGGCTTGTGCTGTAGCTGTTTCCCCATAACACTAGTTTCTACACCCCACGACTGGCCTTTAAATTCTATCCTTATTAGAGGAACATACTGTGGAAGGAGGTGGGTAAGGTTACTCTTTTTCTAGAACAGTTTTTATTCTCAAGTTTGGACTTCTGTCAGATACCAGAACCCCATGCTATTCCCCACATCCTTTTCAAACCTGACAAACAGCAAAGTCCTCTTATTAGAGGCATCCAAGCATCTCAGCTGGGCTGTGTGTGCAGTGTGGTTTCCAAATGGAGGGGCATGGACTGCAGTGCAGAGGGAGCAGAAGGGGAGCAGGCAGAGGCTTCATGTGGTCTCTGAGGCACTTCCTCTACATCCAACGGCAGGTTGGCCCCCCGGCACTCTCCAGAGCAAGTGACCTGATGCAGCCTGCCTCCCTCTTCAGACAGCTCATCAGTGAGGAAGATGAAACTTCTGCACCATCATTATTCAAACTTGGCTGGCTCTCAAGTATGACAAAATAACACAGAAGCATGCCCGTCTCCCTAAATAAATACTCCTTTATTTCTCTGGAAGGTGCCTCTGCTCATGTGTTTCTCAGCCATACCATTCCAGAGTCAGGGATGGAATGTGGTCCCATAGTTCTTTTAAACAAAATTAATCCTCTCTCATCCAGTAGTTTCACTATGTTTGTTACTTTGGGCATCAGTTCAACTAGCTTATGCTTTATCAGCATTCATTTATGCCTTATCTACTGACACTGCATATCTTAGTTACTTTTCTCCTTGCTGGGACAGAATACCAGACAGTCAACGTTAAAGGAGGAAAAGTTTATTTTGGCTCATAGTTTGTGGAGATTTCAGGCAATAATTGACTGGTTGCAAGACAGGATGGCCTGGCAGACTGGCATCGCAGAGGAGAAACAGGTCATGGCAGGTAGAAGATAGCAAAAGCAAGCAAGCAATCAGCAACAAGTGACAAGATACACACTCGCCCTCTTCCTGTCCCTTATATGTCTCTTGCATTTTTTGTCCCTTATATTTACCCTTAATCCTAGCATTGCATTCTGAGTCAAGCCCAGCCTCACAACCTTGAACCCAGCAGCACACACATCCTAGATCCAGCCACCTCTAAAAAATCTCACCTATGACCACAGGAGGCTTTCGGGAGTCATCTAGACACAAGCCATAACATTCTGCCTCTGGCCCACCAGAGACTCATGCACATCTCTTTATGCAAAAGGCATTTAGTCCATCTCCAGTAGTTGTCAAAATCCTAAGTTTCAGCAGTGCTGAAAAGCCCAAGTCCAAAATCTCCTCTGGGTTTTAAGGTAAACTCTTAGCTGTGAGCCCCTGTACAAATGAAAAGAAGCTTAAATACTTCCAATATACAATGGCACAGGATAGAAATTTCTATTCCAAAAAGTACAAAGAGAAAGACAGCAAGGAATGGAAACAAAGCAAGTCGAAAATCGAGCATGGCAAACATTAAGTCCTGTGGTTCGATGTCCATCTGAGGCAATCTGTAGGGCTTGGGTGGTTCCACTCCTGTGGCACTGCCAGTGGTTGTGGCTCCCTCAACTTCTCTCTTGGGCTGGCTCTGCTCCCTCGCAGTTTTCCTTGGATGGTCTACTTTCCTGGCTTCTCCAAATTTCTGAGGTTTCTACTGCACCTTTGGCTTCACACTCACGCCTTCACACACTGCTCTCAGGGACACATTGCCTGGCCTCTCAGGCCTTCTGAAATTTGGGTAGAAGCCTTGCTGTCCTCACAACTCTTGCATTCTTCATGCACCTAAAACCAGGGACACATGAATGATGCTAAGGTCTGCCACCAGCTAGAGCAGTAGCCAGGCTTCCTTCTCTCTTGACTATAGGGGTCAAGTGCCTATGAACCAAATCCCAAGAAACAACTTCCCTAGACTATCACCATTCTGGAACATGGTGCTCTGGGACTCTTCTCAAAGCAAAGTCTTTCACCTTTGCAACTCTGAGCCTTCAAAGGCTGGAGTGCTGTTGGTTCTTGTTATGTTCTCAGGCAACTTTTTCTGTTGTCTTCTTCTGAAATACTTGACTTTTCCTTGCTAGTCTTTTCAGGGACCATTTTTTCCTCTGTTCCATCTTTGTAGGCTGCAACTTTACTGGAGCTTTCTTTCTGGCCAAACTCAAAACATTTTAAATCATTCTGCTGGGCTCTTTATCCTTGATTCTCAACATAAATCTGACTAAAAGCCTCCCAACAGTAGATATGCCAGCACCTCAACATTAGCCTGTCTTGAAATTTCCTCTGTAGTTAGTCTGTTGCCCTTATTTTCAGTCTCAGGCAAATTCTCTGGACAAGAGCAAAGTGCTCATAAACTTTCTGCCAAGATGTAAGAAGTTCCGGAGTCCAACAGCCAATGCAATCCTTCCCAGCCAAAACCTCCCAAGCCTGGTCTTTACTGGAGGCATTTCTATCAGCATTCTGGTCTTGTGAGCTCTGACCAGAATCTCCCACCAAGTATAGCTTAAGGCATTCCAGGACTACTTTTTCAGCTGGCATCTCTGAATCTTTTGAAACTCTTTCCACAAGCCACTTCCAGAGGCTCCTGAAGCACAGGGTCAGGTACCATCACAGCAAGAACTCTACTCCTGGTACCAAATTCTGTTGTAGTTACTTTTCTCATTGCTGGAACAAAGTGTCCAATACCCAAAGTTAAAGGAGGAAAGGTTTATTTCAGATCACAGTTTGTAGAGGTTCCAGTCCATAATTGACTGGCTCCAAGGCAGGATGGCATAGTAAAGGGCCATCACAGAGGCAAAACAGTTCATAGCAGGCAGAAGACAGCAAAAGTGAGCAAGCATTCAGCAACAAGTAACAAGGGGTACACTAGCCCTCTTTCCATCCTTTATATTTTTATCCAGGCTGTTCTCACACCCTTAATCCTAGCATCATACCATGAATCAATCCCAGCCTCACATCCTTGATCCCAGCAGCACACACCCTAGTTCCAGCCACCTCCAAAATGCCCCACTTATGACTGCCTGAGGCTTTTGAGGGATATCTAGACATAAGCCATAATACTGCAAGATGGAATGATAGACATCATGTAAGCTGCTGATACACCTTACAAGTTTGTAATAAGGACAGAAAGTTGTCATATTTCTTGGCTTTCAGAAGTGTGCTGTATTTTCTAGTAAAGTCTGAGGTATGGACTCTGGAGGAATATTGATACAGAAGTTATCTGGCTATGTAAGTGTCTGAAGGACATTCTTCCTGGAAGTACAAGTATATAACAAAGAATAGAGACTGTCACTAGGAAGTGTGCTTCACTTCCACAGTAAATTGCATCTGATCTGTTAAAACAGAGAATGTACTTTCCATAAGACATCTATATACAGTATGTCTTACATTCAAGTTGCAAACTTTTACAGATACAAACAGATCTCACATTACAGACATTTGTAGATGTGAACAAATTGCAGTACTAGCTTAGACATTGTCGCTTTTGTGTTGATGTGTGCTTACTATACAGTGCAATAGTGTACAGTAGTACATACAGTCAGAACTTACTGTATTTGTGTGTGTTTTTTATGCTTTATTGTTATATATTTGTGTCAAAGCTATGTAAGTCCACTTTGTTGGACTAATGAATGAATCCTATTTAAGAATGGTCTCCCAGAACAGAATTCATTCATAAGTTGGGGACTTATTGTACTGAGAAGTAGTATGAAAATTAAATTTTAGTGTAAAACTGAATCACCCTTTCTATCTTTGGGGGAAAAATGTTTTTTAATGGAAACTATATACTCTTCACTACTTTATTAAATTTTTAAAAATTGAAGATCCTACATTTTTAAAAGCCCCTTTCACATAAAGTAAGACTTCTTGCCAGATTGGGAAATCAATCTAAATTGGACACAATATGGATGTGACACACAGATGAGATCTCACACCACTACCTTGTCATGGGTTTGATGCTTCACTTGAAAGAATCCTATAAAAATTTTCTTCAAAGCCCCTTTGAAATCACAATAGTGCACTTTGGGGATGTGATAAGCAGCAGGAAAAGAGCCTCTCCAAGATTTGGTGTCCTGCCACTGGAATATAGCAGCATGAGGAGGAGAAGGAGGAGGGAAGTGGGTCCCCAGGACCCAGGAAGGGTCTGAGGTGAGAATTAAAGTCTACAGGAAGAGTGAAGAGACAAACTTTAATGAAGAGGAACATCACTCTCTCCTATAGCCTGGACTCTCTGTGAGGAAATGGCAGGCTGAACCTGCAGATATACAGTGACTGGTGGCGAACCCAGAGGCCTCCATGGAGAAATGCACCAGTGGAATGGAGGAATAGATGTACCAGACTGCAGTGGCTGGTGAGTTACCTGAATTCAGACCTCACCCAGGAGAAGGGGCAACTGAGCTTGGAACTCAGAACAGCTGTGGGCAGACTCCATCTAATCGCTCCTCATGCCTCAGTGTGGGTGCCAAGTTCAAGTCAGCAGGAGGTCAGGAAGTAGAGTTCAAGCAAGAGACACATACTGTTGTAGGCTCAAGGAATTTGGTTCCAGCCTCATAGCCAGAAACAGGCCTAAACTTCAGAGGAACTAAAGGGAAAGACTGGCTGGGATTATCCACTACTCCACCGTGAAGCTGCGGCTAGCTTGCTGGGATGAATCAATTTGTTTCTGGACTCTGTTTGCCCACATTGTCTAACAGTGATGGTGGAGACACACCTTGAATTGGATGTTTTGGGGAGTTTTCTCTTTCTTTTTTTTTTTTTCTTTTTTTGCTCCTTTCTAGTTCTTATTTTGTTTTGTTTTTTCTTGATTGTTTGAACACTTTCTAGGTTTTTGTTGTTTTTGTTGTTCTCTTCTTCTTATTTTTTTATGTTTCCCACCTGCCTTCTTCACCAGTTTCCTAAAGTTTGTCCTCCAGCCTTGCTTTTGATCTCTTCTTCTTCTTTCTTCTTCTTCTTCTTCTTCTTCTTCTTCTTCTTCTTCTTCTTCTTCTTCTTCTTCTTCTTCTTCTTCTTCTTCTCTTCTTCTTCCTTCTCCTTCTTCTCCTTCTCCTTCTTTCTGTTTTTTTTGCCCCCAACCCTTTTAAAATCTTTTCTCCTAAGGGTAAAATTGCTATATTAAGGGTTACAATTTGTCATTTTCTAGGCTGTATTTGATGCTACTGTTATTGTTGATTGTACTACTACTTTAGCCAAGGTGACATAATTGTGCTAATCAGTTGTCTCTCCTGGTATACCAGACTGATATTGCCGAAAGGTCTTTAAAAAAACAAAACCTATATGCCAGAGCCAAAGAACTGGCAGCTGGGCCAAGTAGGCAGAAACTTCTCATCCCCAATAAATTGAATGGATAGGATCCTGCAACAGACTCAAAACCCAAAAGCTAGCTACACGTGGAAGACACTTCTGAGGAGTAGTCATTTCCTAAGGGTTCTGAATTTAGGCAGTAAAGCTACTTTCCATAAGCAATTTACAAGCATCAACTCAGGAATCAAACTTAGACCAAAAAAAAAACAGAAAATGAGAAGACACTTAAACAAGATGCAACAACCACAGACTTTCAGCTCACCACAGAAAAACCC